TTATAAGATCTACACAGGCCATACACACATTGTGGGTCCTCGTATTGCACACGCAGATTCAGGATATTTTCCTGTTTGAATACCTTCCTTCGTTCGGCTCGAAATTACAAATATCCTAATTTGACACAGATAGGGCCTAGATCTTTTTTTTAAGTCATTTTTAAACCCAGAAAATTTAAGAAAAAGCTGACTATAAGTGCCGAAGGTCTGGGGCCAAGGGACGAAGCAGCATATCTGCAGCGTAAACTGTACATGTGTGTGCATATGTACATATGTACAAGGCTCAACGCTGCGTTTAGAGTATCTGCCAGCGGGCACTTATTTGTTTTAATTTGTCATAAAAAACACTCTGATTATTATCTCACCTGTTCTGAGTTTTGACACCGAGTATAAAGCCCGTGTTCCCTCCACAATCTTCGATTAAACTGAACTTCAAAGCAATTTGATTAATGTACAACTTATTAGGAGCTGTAAAATGTCCTAGCCATGTCTCAGTTCGTTCTTAATACTTGGCCCAGAATGTTGGCCTTTAGTTCGTTTAGCTTTAGCCTGTTTCTGCTGCTGCTTGTAGCTGATGGCTTGAAGAGTTTTCCAGAATTAGCAGAACCAGGAAACTTTGGAATTAATTTGATCAACAACATCATTGAGAGAGTTCAGAGGGAAAGATCCGTGGATACGCTGTTGCTTATGAAACGCCAGCAGGACAGCAACTGCCCTCTGCAGGATATCAATTCCATGGGAATACCTAGTCTTCGCCTAGATGAACGAATCACAATTAATATAAAGCAGCGCTTTAATAGCGAGGCCCTCGCTCTGGTTTGCATGGCCGATCTTGGAGATGCCACCCTGCTGAGCACCTTGGCCCAGAATCTACATCGCATGAGAGAGGCGCCAATCATTGTGTGGCTACATAGTATGGACTCGGATCTACAGGAATTTCTGTCTATAATCACCCAACAGGCAGAGAAATATAGTTTGATCAACCTCTTGGTTTTTCGTACAGGCTTGTATGCTCTCGAAGACTCGATAATTGTCTATAGATTACAACCATTTCCCAATGCAACTCTCAAACTTGTAAGTAATTTAAACGAGGCACCATTTTTATTTCCAATCTGGCGAGATTTCCGCCGAAAGGTGGCCATAACAGTGCCTAGTCTCTCTCCACCGTCCAGTTATCTGCTCTCGGACAAGCGCACGGGCAGCAAGTACCTGGACGGCCAAATGGTTCGACTCGTAAGGGAGTTTGCCCGGAAACATAACATACAGCTCCGGTTGCAAAGAGCTGAGAATGAGAGTATTTGGATCGATAATCACAGTATTGAGAAAATGATATCGAAGGGTGAAGTGGACTTCCCAATGCATGGACGCATAAACACATTAAACATAGAATCTACGCCCTATGTGGATATCAGTCAAATATTTATTGTCGTGCCCTGCGGCCAGGAAATGAGATTAAGTGATGTTTATAGAAGTATGAGAACCTACTTTTTTGTGATGCTTGGCGTCTACTTTCTGTTTGCGCTGATCGAAACAACGCTCAAGCTGGCCAGCCAGCACATCTGGCGGCGCAGCTCGTGCCTCGGCTATTCAACATTTTTCATAAATCTGCACTCATTTGCCGGGGTGCTGGGTCATCCCATTGGCTTGCGTCGATATCGAAGCCCATCACTGCGACAGTTCCTCATGGTTATGAGCATTTTCAGTCTTGTTTTCGGCTGTTATTTCAATGCCAACCTGAGCGCTCTGCTGACCAAGCGGCCCTGCTATCGACACGCCCAGAACTTCGAGGAGCTGGCGGAAAGCGGCTTGCCCGTCATATACGACAGAATCATTGCGAATGTGACGGATGTGCACATGAAAGATCAAATTTTAAAAATACCCAATATTGTTTTCACGCCGAACAATCAACGCAACGATATGATGTTTGCCCTGAACTCGAGCAATGCCTATCAGGCACTCAGCAAGTTGTGGGATATCGTGAATAGCCACCAGAAGAATTACAAAAGGCATGTCCTCTGCGCGTCGCCAGGACTGATCCATTTTCCATGGCTATCCCATTGTGGGCATTTTGAAGGAGAATTCCATTTACATAAAAGCTGTTAACGAGTTTATTTATAGAGCACACGAAGTCGGTCTGTCCCGTCACTGGCAAGTGGCCTCTATGCGCAGCATGGTGGCATCCAAGAAGCAGCTTATCGATCAAAAGAGTTCACATACAGAGTCTACACATGCTCCATTAAATAATGAGGATCTACTCTGGGTTTGGAAATTGTTGGCAATATTATATGCCACAGCAGGATTTGTTTTCATCGGAGAATTGGTCATGGCTCGCTGGCAAGGACGAGGTCCCTCAAAAGCATCCTCAAGGGTGTAGATGAAACGCTTCTCAAAACTAATTTTTAATTGATTTTAGGAGTTCAAATAATTTCAACAATTTGTATAAATTGCATCTAAACTTTCAGCAGTTGGCAAATAAATAAAAAAAAAAGGCGTCTGACACCACTTGCGTGGTGCCTATATTGCTAGCAAATATCTGGCTAGCCTGTCAATAACTAAATTTAATTATCTAATTCCCTCAGCACAACCTGACTTTATATATTGCATACTTGACCTTTCGTTATGTCAAATCAATTCAATTTCTAATCATTTGAATAGAACACTTGATCTTGAATTTGTTAACGATTACCTTACTGCTAATGTGTCCAGGTCCCCTCCTTTATCTCCTCCTGAGGATGTATATCATCCTACTTTAGAGGTTGCAATGTTCAATTGCAATCCTCTTATTTTTCACTTTCTGTAAACTCTTTATAATTTTGTAAACTTGAAGCGAAAATTTTCAAGTTTGCCAACTTCCTTTTCTCTCGGGATGGATAAAGCTAGAAATGATTCCGATTCTGCTATCCTTTGTTATCTTTTTCCAATCAACTTACTCTTCCGTCTGTCCTCCGATTCCATTCTTGCTCCTATTATTTCCCATTCCTCTCTCCTTTCTGCTATAAATTCATTAAAATCTTCTTACTCTCCTGGGCCTGACAATATTCCTAGTTGCCTACTCAAGGAGTGTATTTCTTCCCTTTTTCGTCCATCGCTAAAGCTTTTTAATCAATACCTTGAATCTTCTGTCTTTTCATCTCTTTGGCAAGAATCTTTTATCATTCCTCTCCACAAGAAAGGTGGAAAGTCTGATATACAAAATTACAGGGGCATTGCTAAACTATCCACTATGCCTAAATTATTTGAAAAAATAATCACTTAGAATTTACATCATTTCTGCAGATCATTGTTACCAAAAAACTATATCAACATTGGTAGTTTCGAAAGTCAGACTACAGATCCAATACTGCTTGCAAATATAACTTCAAGTCTGGTAAATGATGTCATTATCGCCTTCTCTAAGCAATTGTCCTAATACTGACCCTGTCATTTACACTGGAGCAGTTCCAGTAGAGCGTGTATTAGAACCTGACCCAGTCAGTGCAGCTGCATCAGCAACGTCAGCTTCTGGTCGAAACGGTAGACCTTCGCGCAATCTAGCCCCGATTGTTAAACGCGTCCGTCTCTTTTGCATTGGATTTCTTCTTATTTAAAAAGTAGGACCCAAAGAGTAATGCTAAGGCTGACTACCTCAAAATAGGTTCACGTTACTTCAGGTGTCCCTCAAGGTAGTCATCTTGGTCCTTAACTCTTTGCTCTTTTTATAAATGATATCCCCTCGGTTATATCACATGCCCATATACTTATGTATGCGGACGATGTGAAACTTATTCTATCATACACTAATCCCCAACATCACTCTCGTCTTCAAGATGATTTGAGCGCTATGCAACTTTGGTGTTCGGCATCAAATTCATCTATCTCGTCAAGTATACAATGGTCAATACTTTATTGCAACGTATACTAACAGTTAAGGATCTAGGTGTTCTTTTTGATTCAAAACTCTTCTTCAAACTTCATATAGATTAAACATTTGTCTAAGGAGTTTAACGAGCCTTTCATAACCAAACTCCTTTACATCTGTTTTGTTCGCCCTATCCTTGAATACTGCTCTTGCATCTGGTCTCCGCAGTATAACAATAGCCAGGATCGTATTGAATCAGTTTAGAAGCAATTTCTACTTTTTGCCTCACGAGGTTTAAATCCTTCTCCAGCAGTCTTCTTCTTCTTGATCTTCCGTCGTTAACCAACCGTAGGACAATCCTCGGTGTTATCTTCCTACATAAGTTGATTGTTGGCGACATAGATTCTTCTTTTCTGCTTGGTCTTCTTCAATTCTCTGTTCCGTGTAAATCTACCAGGAATTATCGCCCCTTATTCCTACACAATTTTTTCGTGTTCTATGTAAAAATTATAATAGTTAGTATCACGTTTTCTCCACGTTTTCTACCCCTAATAAAATCGTTGCTTTCAGGATACCTTCGGGAACTCACTGACCATTCCCAGCTATGAGTAGGGGAACAGCTAGCCGGACAGGCTATAAATTTCCCCACTGGGTCGGTGGTTCCCATCACTATCTCTTTCACTCAATATTTCAATATTTCACTCAGAAATTCTTGGAATTTGCGCTTGCTGCTGCGCTTGTTTGCAGGCCAAAACATATTTTCTTTCGTGTTTCTTAACTGATCTTGATGAAATTTTCAGTAGTAGATCTTATTGTACTATAAAATATTCGTATATTCTCGAAATGACAATTGCATTTCAATTGTGGCTTAATTAGTAAGGCAATACAAATTGGTTTACTAACATGATTTATAGCTTTGTGGTGGTAACGGGGTGGTGGCGAAAGCTATAAAATGAAGGATACTTGATATATATATATACTATTCTAGAAGCCACATGTCAAGTTTGGTGACTCTAGCTCTTATTATTTACCCAATTTGCTAAAAAACCCGGATTTCGATATCGATTTTTATCGATTACTTGGAAACGGGGCAAGTCATCGAATATCGGGAACAAACTCGATCTGCGCGGCCACTAGGATGACCTACAGCTAAAATTTCAAGGCTCGGGCTCTTATAGGTTCTAAGATCCTTGCGCTCATGCATACGGACAGACAGACGGACGGACAGACGGACAGACGGACGGACAGACAGACGAACAGACGGACGGACAGACAGACGGCCATGGCTAGATCGACTCGGCTATTAATGCTGATCACGAATATATATACTTTATGGGGTCGGAGATGCTTCCTACTGCCTGTTACATACATTTGCACAAATACATTATACCCTTTTTACCCACTTTCAATGGGTTCAGGGTATAAAAATAAATTTGAAAATAAGAAAAGTTCCCTCGATAGGATTCGAACTCGTAACAGACCGCACTCGTAACAACCGCCTCTACTCAACAGGCAAACCAACAACCCAGTCTTAATGGGAAAAACGAATTAAAATAGCAGCACAGAAAACAATACAAATACAATTGCAATGCTGTTTATAAAATTCAATAAAGACGCATATGAAAGTGTGTGTGTACGTGTATTCAGAAATTCTTGCAATTTAGACATTTGCTGCCAACACGCGGCTAGCCAAAACACGTGTGTTTATTAAGCGTGCTTGATGAAATTTTCAACAGTAGATCTTATTGTGCTATAGAATATTTGTATATTCTCAAAAAGTCAATTGCATTAAAGTTGTGCCTTAAATTAGTGGGTAGCACAAAATATTCAATAAGCTAAAGGTCAGGTTTGGTGGCTACAGCTCTTATTACTTACGAGATTTGCTCAAAAATCACGATTTCGATAACGATTTGGATCGATTTCTTGGAAACGGGTCAAGTTATCGATTATCGGAAACAATCTCTTACTGCGCGGGCACTAGCTCTTATAGGTTCTGAGATCCTTTCATTCATACATACGACAGACTGACGGACATGGCTAGATCAACTCGGCTGTTGATGTTGATGAAGAATATATGTATATACTTTATGGGGTCGGGGATACTTCCTTCTGCCTGTTACATACATTTGCACAAATACATTTTACCCATTTTTAATGGGTTCAGGGTATTAAAAATAGATGTGTGAGGAGGGTTGTGTAGTTTTGCTGAACAATTTTCCATACAAAAACGTAGTTTTTGCCGACGTTGGTCAAGATATCTTGATAAACAAAAAAATTCTTCATACAATCTAGGCAGTCTAAAAACTCAATACATATTGGTAAGCATAAGAAAAATTCATACAATAACATAATATTCGACCGATCTTTCCTCTGACAGTTAATTGATTTGATGTTGATAAGATTTTACTGATAAATGGCAAGTTCGGTCAAGTTATATTGATGCCATCTACAATGCTTTTCATACAAGAACTTAAATTTTATCCGATTCTTCCTATGGCAGCTATATGATACAGTAGTCCGATGTAGATAATATTTGGCATATATCTAGGGAGCATCATTTTACTAGTAAACGCTAAGTTTAGTCAAGTTATCTTGATGTACAAAAAAGTTTTTCAAACAAGAGCTTTATATTTAGCCGATCGTTCCTATAGCAGCTCTATGATATATTGGTCCAAATCGGCCAGTTCCAACATATGTATTGCCTACAACAAAAATACGAAACTAGCCAATTTTTCATGACGATAGCTCTTAAAGTAAGAGTCTTATTTGCACAGATATTATGCCTATATCCACTCGTCTGTTGCTACTGATCAGGAATACTATTTGGCCATTGAGATGCCTTCTTCTATGCGTTGTAATATTCCGATCACTTCTCTAGTTTAAGACTTGTTCCAACAACTTGTTAAAGAAATTTACATTTATTTCGTTCTATGCTTTAGGTCTCTTTTTTTTAAAGCATTTTCATACGCCAATTAGATTGAATTTATTTTAAAATTTTTATGATTCTAATTGTGGGTGCATGTGAAGGTTGGGTCGATTTAGTCATCTCCGACCCTCTGTCAGTTCGTCCGTCCGTCAATGTCGATCTCGGAAACCACAAAAGCTAGGCATTTAAAGTTTGAATTAATTGTTTTCGTGT